TTCTCCGGAGTCCCCTGGCTTACATCACCAGCACCTTGTACTTGGTTGGGTCATCCCCTTGTGTGGTTACTGGATTCTCTGAGTTAGTCTCCTTACCCAAACAATGCCTGAACTCTCTACAGAGAGGAAGTGAGTCTCTCTCAGCCTACCCTCACTGCCCTCTGCAGGTCTGGGCAGAGCAATCACTCCACGGAGACCATAGAGATGTTTATTCTGAGGTCAGGTTTCAGCTCTGTTTTCAGCTTGTTCTCATCATAACCTTGGAGAACCAGATGCTTCTTGCCCTCCAAGCCCCAAGGCCAGACTGTCACCCAGTGCTCTGGCCATCTACCGCCTTCTACATCCTGCCTTCACCAGGGTGACTCTCTCCTCAAAGCTGCTACCCCCTTTGCAGATCATTACACGAAACTTGGATGGTTTTCTGTTTTCTCGAATGTAGAACTCCTTGGGCCTGGAAGACATTTAACCATCTGTTGCTGTTTGCTGTTTTGAGGTTTTTCACTTGGTATGACTTTGGTCTCTCTAACTAAGCAGCAGGTTCTTCCCAGGCCTATCCTTTGCTGCTCCCAATGGGAGGTTGGAAGGGCTGGATGAATGCAAGAATGACTGGGTGGTGATGCCTCCAAGCTAAGCCATGTAGTCTTGAGAGTGGTGTGTCTTCACAGACTTGTTCTCAACCTGAGTTCTGAACTCCTGGCAGAGAGTCTGCCTGGGGCCCTACAGCTCCCCATCCTTAGGATCCAGATGAATGAAGACAGTATTGCTCCTCACCCACACACCCCCCCACCAAAAAAAAGAAAAATGTCAGATTAACCTTTGATGTCTAGAAACTCCATCTTGAGGACCGACTGTGTGCTCGTGCCTGTTGAGAGGGGCTGCAGAGGAAGAAGGGAAGGAAGGGCCTGATTACTGGGTTTTTGCCCTCTGCCAGCTCACAGTCTAGATGGAGAAAGAAGATCCATAGGCAGGAGAGCCAGAGCATGTCTGAAGGTGTGTGGCAACAGCTAGGGCTGTGGAGTGTGGGTCACTGGGTACTAAATGGAGGAGAGCAATGGTGGCTCAGCTGGAGGGAAGCTGAACACAAAGAGGGCTTCCTCATGGAGGAGCAGGAGCAAAGGGAAGTGAGGAGCAGGAAGCAATGGTGAAGCCTCCATAACTTCACCACCTGCACCAAGATCCACACCACAGGGGGCTTCCTGATTCCCCCAAAATAAATCAGTAACTAAATGTAAACCCCAAATACAGAGAGAAAATGAGAAGCAATTGTGTCCAGCTCCCACTTCCTCTTGCCAGCCTACTCCCTCTCAGTGGATGGAATAATTGTGTTCAATAAGTGGCACTTGGATAAGTTTTAATTTTTAAATGTCACGGTAGCACTTTGCCCCCATCTTTCCCTAATTACATTTCTCTTTGATGATCTAAAATTAAAAAAATACATATTAACTCAAGTCTTTCAAGGGCAGCGAAACCAAAGAACAAACCTAACCCTTGTTCCTTACAATTTTCTCAGGGGTCCTGCTTCTTTATTATATTAGTTTGAGACACGAGTTACTATTTTATCCCCAATACTCTCCTGTGGCAGAAAGATGGGAGCCTAAACGATCCAGCTCTGTACCTTTAAGAGATCAATGCTTTGGCAGAAGCTGCTTCTGCTGCTGTTTACACAGGGTAACTCAGTTATATGGAGCCTTGTGTCCTGGTTGCTTCTGTCCCGCAACCTGGGGGGAGGTGGGGCATTTCACCAAATACCTGTGGTTGAGCTGAGAAGTGAGGAATGTGTTACCCCTAAGGGGAGACAGCCCAAATCCAAAATAAACCATCCTCAGGTGGGAGAAGTGGAAGGGTAAGGAGCATTCACATAAGAAAGGGGCTCTCCACAGCGTGGTGTCCATATGTGGAGAGATACAAGGAGTGGGCGATGGTGCACGGGGAAGAGGCACAGTCCTAGAGGGAGTGGCCTTATGGCATCTGGAGTTTGCACAGGCATCTGAAATCACCACATGCCCCTTTCATGAACAACTCCACTCTCTCACCTACTCCGGCCCAGGGACTGCTTTTATTTATGTATTGACTATTAATATTAATAATAATATAAATAATTAATAATTCATTTAAAGGGGGCCTCCCTTGTACAAGCCCTTCCTTCCTCAGCCCTACTCAGCTGGCTCCCTTCGCTTCCCCTTGTTCTTGCTCCACTTTGAGGAGAGAAAGGGGCAGGGAGAGAGAGAGACCTCAAGTAGGAATTATTCTCCTAAACTCCTGCTTTGGCAGAAACTACATTCCACTCCTGTTGTGAGATCCTGGGTGGTAAACACCAGGGCCACAAGATGATGCTGGAGGAGGTATTTTGGACAAAGTTACTGGCCTCTGCTGATGTGTCCTGAAAGAAAGGGAAGGAGAAGGTCTCAGCCTGGTGGGTATACACACACACACACACACACACACACACGCAGAGTGTGGATACAAATAGGATCTAGGTACACATCCACACAAGCACCCGCAGCCCTGATAACACATACCTTCTAGCCACACACGCAGACCCTCTGTGGGCCTACCAGGGACATGCTTCTCATTACAGCACTTCGCAGGCACACCGAGCACACAGGCACATGGCAGAGAGCCTGTCTGTGTGAGTTTCTGTTTGATTCCGTCAACTTGGATGATTCTTAGGCCATTCATTATATAACACTGGATAACGTAAGCCCGGGAACCGAGTTATGAATCAAACTATACTTACACATGATTACATCAAGCAAAGGCAGGAAAATCTTTAAATGAAAAGACGCAGTTTCACTATTACAGAATCGTACTTGCTGTGCGGTTTGGGCCCAGGATCCTCCGGGAGGGAGAGGTGTCCCAGGTGGGCTCTGGGCCTGGGGCTGCACCCCTCAGGGCCTCCTCAGGCCTCCTCCTGGCGCTGGAGAGCTCTGCGCTGTGGTTGTACCAAAGAGTCTCCGTCTCGGGTTTCCAGCAATTGGGGTCTCGTTTCTTTAAATAAAATTGTAAGCGTATCGTCTAGTAACGTCACGTCATCCGAGGGCAAGAGAAGAGAAACCCTAAACACTCCAAAGAGGGTGCTGGGGGGCCAGGCTAGGGTCAAGTCAGCAGCTCTGTCCCGAAACCCCACTAGGGAGCGGCGAGTTATTTTAATCAGCCCGGCTCTGGAGCCAGGAGGATGCCTTGGAAAGGCAACTGTGAGAGAGGATGGGATACGGGATTTTAATATCATGAAAATGAAAATCTCTCCCAACCCAAGTTTACCACTACATTCATCCCAGGCGAGGCGGGGCTGCATGCTCCGGCGCCCGCGCTTGCCACTCCCTCTCCCCGCGCAGCTGAGGTTCTGTCCCGGCGGGTCTGGCGGGGACCCTGCGGAGTCCGGGCTGGGCGGCCGGACCCCTGGCCCTCGCCCGCAGACGCGCTCCCAGCCCCGCGCTCCGGAGCGGCAGGTGCCGCCAGCGAAGCCCGCGGGGGCAGCGCACGGCGCCGCGCGCGAGTGTCTGGGTCCAGTTGCAGCCCAAAGAGCGGTTCGGGGACTTTATTTCTTTCATGATCGATTACGAAAGAAAGAAAGAAAGAAAAAATTCTTTCCATTAGAACCAGTAAAGTGGAGACGAGGGCAACATCAAGCCGGTCCCACGCGCTGCCTCACTGGCCACCGCGCCCGGAGCCGCCGACTACCTTCCCGGCGGCGAGCGAGCGGGCCGAGGCCCCGGCTCCTACCTTCTTCCCGCCACGGCCGGCCAGACCAGCCGCCGTCCTCCTGGGCGGGGGAGGCCGTCCGTCCGGGGACGGAAACACCCACCTCCAGCCTTCGCGGGCGGAATGAATCGCTATTCCTCGTCCCCGTCCCCGTTCCTCTCCCTCCCCCACCCCACCCCCCCCCAGCGGCCCCACTGCCCCCCAGTCCGGTCCTCCCAGTGGCTCGGGCGCCGGCGGATGCCGGGCGGAGGAGGGCGCGGGTTGGGGGCCGCTCTGGCAGGTTGGGAACGCGAGGAGGGAACGAGCGGAGACCGGGAGACAGCGCGCGCGCCAAAGAGAGCCCTTGTCTACAGATGTATCCACATCATATATATTTATGTAGCTTTTTTTTTTTCTTCCTCTCGACACTGATCAATGTGCTGCACTCGGATCTCTGGGCGGGCTCCCTCCAAGCCGGCTCCCTTTTTTCTAATCCAAATAAATAAATAAAAGGGAACCAGATGGGAAAGAAAAGCGCCCGTGCCACCTTCGCCGCCGCCGCCCCGCCCGCCATCCCTGCCTTTGCTTTGCCCGCCTGGCGCCCCAATAGAGATCGGTGGATCATGCCCCCCTACTACATACCACACGAACATGGAAACCTATGTATTTGGAATACAAAAAAAGAAAAAAGTTGCACCTGCTGCTATTATAAAAATAAAAATAAAAAGGGGGGTGGGGGGGCAAAGAGGAGGCCAGCAGCCCCGTTTCTAACGGGAGCCCGCTCCCCGTGGCTGCTGCGCCGGAATCTCAGCGCCTCCCGAAGAGCCATGCGCCCGGCGCTATTTATAGCCGGGGGCCGTCCGGACCGTACCACCGCCGCTCGCCGGGGCCGCCGCCGGGGGAGGCGCGCGGGGCGGCACCGCCCCAACCGCCCCGCTCCGGGCCGCCGCCCGCCGCCGCCGCCGCGCGGGAGTCCGCCCGCCCAGAGCGCCCTCCCCGGGCCCCGCGCCCCCCTCCTGCTCCAGCGCACACTCGCCGCCCCCACCCCTGGTCAGACTGGGAACTTGAACCGGTCCAGCCTGTTTAAACGGAAAGGACAGAGATCCTGTCTGTTCAATGTAAAAAAAAAAAAAAAAGAAAGAAAGAAAGAAAGAAAAAAGAAAAAGAAAGAAAGAAAGAAAAAAAAATCAGATCAGACCGCCGAAAGAGAGAGAAGAGAGGAGGAGAGGGAGGGAGGAGAGGGAGCGGGGGGAGAGGGGAGAGAGCGCGCGAGCGCGAGCGAGCGAGAGAAGAGAGGAGAAAGAGAGAGAGAGCAGGGAGCGAGGTTCAGAGCCACCGAGGGGGAGAGAGCCCGAGTGTGTGCATGCGTGTGCGCGTGTGAGCGCGAGCGAGCGAGCCTGCGAGGGAGAGGAGCGGGAGAGTGCGAGCGAGGAAAGAATAAAAGGAAAGAAGATTTTTTTCTCTATGTATATAAAGATGGCCACGTTAGCAAACGGACAGGCTGACAACGCGAGCCTCAGTACCAACGGGCTCGGCGGCAGTCCGGGCAGCGCCGGGCACATGAACGGATTAAGCCACAGCCCGGGGAACCCGTCGACCATTCCCATGAAGGACCACGATGCCATCAAGCTGTTCATTGGGCAGATCCCCCGCAACCTGGACGAGAAGGACCTCAAGCCCCTCTTCGAGGAGTTCGGCAAGATCTACGAGCTGACGGTTCTGAAGGACAGGTTCACAGGCATGCACAAAGGTGAGTGCACCTTATCCTCCTAACTTTGCTGGGGAGGAGAGGGCGGGCGGCGGGCGGGCTAGCCGGCCGGCCGCGGAGAAACCGGAGAGACGGCGCGAGAGAGAGGCAGCCTCCCTCGGGCGGACGCCGCCGAGGAAGGAGGCGCTCGGGCAGCAGAGACCAGGACTGGGGTGCGTGGGGAGCTGTTTGCTGGGGCAAGGCTGGGTTTTGGGGAAATGAGCTGACAGAAGCGGTACCGCCGTAGGGAGAGCAACTGGAGCAGAAGAGGAAGAGAAAGAGAGGAGGTCGAGGAGGAATGGGGCTTTTATGGGGGGGGGGGGGGGAGAGAGATACCGCGACTTGAATGATTGGGATGGGGACAGCTGCACCGCCGAGCTGCACCGGGACGCTGAGCGGCAGGCTGGCAGGCGCGCAGCCGGGCAGGGACCGAGGGTGCTGTCCATCGCTGTGGTGCTGAATATACTGAGAGGAGATCCGGTGGTCCCCTGCTCAGGGCCAGAGTAGAAGCGAGAGTGCAACCGTCTAAAAAAAAAAAAAAAAAAAAAAACGGAGGGAGGTGACAAATTCAGAGATATTTTTATTTCGCTACTAATTTAACAGTAAACTCTCCCTGTCGAGCTGTGTTTCTCAATAATCCAGTTGTGCTGTGAGTGGTGGGGGAGGGGGGTGGATATTTGAAGGAAGGAGGGACAAAACCCAAGATAAGAATTAGCAAGAAGCCAGCCATCCCCTGGGTGGTGTGAGGAGTCGGGGAAGCCTGGATGATGCCCCCTTCTCGGGAAAGTGGGGTTTTACGGGGAAATCTGTGCGTGCAAGATGTGCATTTTAAAGGGAGTAGCCTAATTATCCCAAACTCGCCATGCAGAGAGGTTTATAGTACATTATTCCTCTCCCTTGAAGCAATCAATGCTAGTGAGTGCTTGGGGGAGGGGAGACAGAATAATCAAAGAATTAAAACCCAGCAACTTTTTAGGAAAGTGGACATGGGAATTGTCTGCAGCCTGCCTATTTTCTCCCCTTGTTTTATTATCTTTAAGGCAGAGCCCCAAATGTGTTCAGTTGTAGGATGTGTGTGGGTGGCTGGTGGGTGATGAAATTAGCCCAGTGCTCTGCTCCCTAACAGTAATGTATAGGATGTGCAGCGGGGATTATTCGGGGCTGGAGCTGTGTGGGCAAGTTAAATGCTTTCTGAGAGAGACTGATTGTCAGGCAGAGGAGCACCGTTCTGAGGAAGTTGTAAGGGATGTGTACGGATGTTCTGTTTTTAATAAACAGTAGTGTGGAGAGCCACTGAAGATGCCGTGTTAGAGCTGGTGGTTTTAATGATGAAAACACACACACACACACATGCACATGCACACGCACACCCACCCGCACAGAGAGAGCAGCCTCATCCTTGGCCACAAATGGGCTATGAACAGAGCTGATCCTCCGGCACATTAGGTGCAGAACGCAGAGCTGTCTGGCTCTCCAAGCAGCAGTGGTTTCCACTATCACAACCACCCTCCTTCCCCAGCCCTCCCTTCATCCGAATACTAAGCACAGCTCCAAACTCTTCATAGTTGGAGTCCCAGAGAGCAGTTTTTATTGGCTTTAGCATCTTCCAGCTTGCCTGCTGAGGAGTAAATCTTAAAGTTAATGGCATGTTGAGCTGCACAAAACCACGGCAGAATGGAAATATACTAGGTTTGTTGGGGTGGGGTGAGGGAAGGGGCTGTAATGGAGAAAGAAACCAACCTTTATCCAATATGGAGAAAATGTTCAGAAGAGAAACTGCAAAGGTGGACTGGGGAGGCAGTGTCTGAAATAATATTTGTTTCCTTTCTGCCCTTCCCCAAGTCAACCATATCTTTGTAGTTTTTCCTTTTCCAATCAAGCTCCATTGAGGCTAATCACTGTTTGTATCAAACCTTTGTTATCCCAATACGTCCCCAGATTTTAAAATAGTAATAATGAAAATTAAAAGGCATAGGTAGAAAAATCCTTTACCCATCTCAACAATCAGTTCTTGTGACCATTTGAGATTTTAAAGTTAGAAAAATAGCAGAACCCACTAGAGGCAAAAGACAGTTGTAAAGACCTGGGCTTCCTATGAGACCTGGGTTGGAGCACTTTATTTGATGTTTTATTTCAAATGAAGATAAACTTTAATAATATTTCTTGCTTTCTTCTCACGATCCTTTCTTGCTGGTATCATCACTGTTTCTGATGTTATTTGGACTCCCTTGTATTGTAGGGGGAAAAAGTAGAATTATCATCATTTATATCAAGAAGGTAGAGATTATAATACAGTTATATTGTGTGCATCACCTCACACACACACACACACACACACATATATATATGGCCAGGATTCCTAGGACAAGCAAAACTTCATTTTTCTAAATAATTCTTCCCCTAAACTGACTCAGTCTGTGGCAGGCAGGCCCGCTGGCCCGGCATGCTGGGTACCTCATTGTCGCAGCTCACCCTTCAGAACCTGAGCATATATTTTTTTCCTACGAAACTTCCTGCCTCTCCTTCACTTGGATTTTTATAGGCAGGGTTGGACCACAACATCCCAACAGTGCCTGAAAGCTTCGGGAGAGCTAAATAAATGAGACAGTTTCCGAGGTCTGTTTTATTCAGTCCTAGAAGAGTTTGAACTCCTCCTTCAGTGATACAGCCTGATTTATTAGCTAATCCTAATAAAATAAGCCTCCGGCCACCTTAAAAAAAATTACTCGCCTGCCATTGGTGATTAATTACTATTAAGTCAAAAAGCATGATGAGACTTGAAGAACAAGGGTTGCATTTGATTTCTAGATTTTCTCCAACTCTAAATTAACACAAGGTTCTCAGGATAGAAACATGCCTTTGTTGAGCCTGCTTTCAGGGCATATTTGTGGTTCTTTCTCTCCCCTTCTTGAATTTCTAACTTCTAACGAATCATACTGGGATAAAATTGAGGGATAGCACAGGATAGTGGCCTCCAGTGTGGATGGCATATGTATGTTTTTGGTTAAGGGAAAAAAAGTAAAAGATAAATTAAATGTGTGCAATTTCAGGTTGCTATCCATTTGCTGGCCACCTGCCATTTCAGGTAACTAAAGAAGGAAGGGCTTCTAAGGGTTAACGGAATACCTGCCATGTGTAGAGTGAACCTTAAAAGGCAATTACTCCAGTCAAATTGGGAGTCTGTGGAGGAGGGAGAAGGTGGGTGTTGTGGAGCAAACCCAGCCATATCAGAGAAAAGCTGTTGAGCTGGGGAGGCAAGACAGCACATAGCAGTTGTGGACTGGGTTAATTACTGTAAAGGTAAATTGACCCCCTGGAGACCAGAAAGCAATTGGGAAGGGGGAGATCTGGGTGCTAGGTTAAGAGAGAAACCAGGGAAAAAACACACTAGGATTACAATTTGAAGAAACAACACCCAAAGAAGAAGACACGGTGTAATGCAAACTCTCATGGCTAATTCTGAGTCTTCTTTTTTCCCCCATTAGAAGCACTTTGAGAAAGATTGTTTTTTCCATGCTCCAAAGAAAAAGACATTGTGCTATCGATTTAAGAGAACAGAGGCAAACTCCCAGGGTAGCAACAGAAGTGAGCTCAGGACTAACTTTGCCCCTTGCTATAGAATTGTTCTCCCTTGAAGAAGGGAACAGGTCACCCACTGGTCTAATTCTTCCCTTCTCTCACTTTTTGTTCGTTTCTCTTCTTTTTATTTCCTGAAGAACAAATGGAGCCAGTGACTGAAAATAGATACACACACACACACACACACACACACACACACACACACATTCATGACTGCTAACACACACAGCAGATCACGCATGAAGAAGCCCACAATCCATTCATAACTTTGGTCTTGTCAAACAGGATAAACGGCAGCAAAGACTGAGTTACTGGTCGACATAAAGACTAGTGCTCTCTGGGTAGCCATATTATAATGCATTATCTTTGAAGTCATTTAAGTCCAATTTAAGTGGTATTTAGTATAATATTTATGAATTAATGTAATCTAAACATAGGCTGTCCCCAAAGGTTTGAGCAGCCTTTACTACTGAAGTGTGCTTATTCCTGAAGCCTGCAATGCATTTTAATCTAAACAGCCAAGTCCACATTATAGTCCCTCTAGTTAACCAGCTAGAACACATCTGTGGCCTGGGTAGCCGCTCTGCATTGAGGTCATCCTCCACTGCAGGGAGGAAAATCTAGTCTACTGGCAGCCCCGGGGGCTCCCAACCCAGGAGCCACAACAGCAGAAACTTTTGCCCCTCACACTTTCATACGACATCCAGAGGGAGGGTGGGAACAGAGTGATGGAACCCTTTGTGGACTGAGGTCTGGAGAGCACATCATTTTAAAATGTACTCATCACCAGATGCACAACCCCTCAGTTCAACGGTACCTGACTAGGAAATGCCCGAAGCCCCATGATTTGGGGTGGTGCTGGGAGAAAGGGAAAGGACAGGAGTTGTGATTATGTTTTGGTGATTTGTGACCATCTTCATAAAATTATGACTTGCATTTTCATGTAAGATGTAGCAAGTCTCGGAACATTGAGTTTCCACCGCTTGACTTTGGCTGAGCTGGCTAGTTGTTTTCCTGAAATAGGTGAACTCAAGCCGGCAAGGCTCTGGTGCCCGTGCCCGTTCCAAAGGAGTCTAAGAGGCAGTGACGCTGAACCATTCGCATGGGCATCAGCTCAATTAACATGAACTTTAAAAAAAAATATTTTGAAAAATAAAAATTTATTTCTCTCTGGGGAGACTGATAGAACAGCTGAGCACACACCCATAGTTGTTCAAAGAAAGATGTGCCGAGAGAGAGAGAGAGAGAGAGAGAGAGAGAGAGAGAGAGAGAGAGAGAGAGAGAGAGAATGGGATAGCTGTGATGAGAAAAGAAGACAAATGTGTTAAAAAAAAAACACAAAAACACAAGTTTCACTAAAGAAAATAAGCAATAGCAATCATTAAAAAGCTAAAGTAAAGCAAACCAAACAGCTCCAAAAAAAA